TGAAAAGTTTTAGATGCAGTTGAATAGCTCTAACTAATACATATCAGCATATTAGGTTTGATAAAAATATCTTGAATGATTTATTTAAAACTGAGCTTAACACTTATTTGAGAAAAGAGAGGTCAAGGTCAAAGGTAAGGTTGAGGTCAAAATGCTGATGCAGTTGAAAAGCTTATATCAGTATGTATTTACTATTAGCATAGAAGTTCAATAAAAATATCAGAAATGCTTTATTTAAAACGTAGATAAATACTAATTTAACCAGCATTCTGAGAGTATTGCATTAGCAATACTAGTCCCCTACCGGCAAGTGTAATCCGGTTCCCGTTAAGAATTGAAAATGCCATAATTCCGTCAAAAATTAATAAAGCGGGACGAATTGCAAACTTGATCTATAACTAATCAAGGTAGAGCCACATACCAAAAATCAGCTCAACATCTACAAGCGTTTAGAAGAAAATTGCGGAAAACCCTTAAAATTGAAAAGGCCGTAATTCCGTCAAAAATCAATGAAGCGGAACGAAATGCAAACTTGATCTGTAACTCATCAAGATACACTCACATACCAAAAAATCAGCTCAATATCTACAAGCGTTTAAGAAAAAAGTGCGGAAAACCAAGTGGGACAGACTGACAGACAGACAGAGGGACAGACAGACAGACAGACAGACAGACAGACAGACAGACAGATGGACGGACAGACTCAGAGGAAACCTATAGTCCCCTCCGGTTTCACCGGTAGGGGACTAAAAAAGTGAGGTCAAGGTCAAAGGGAAAGTCAAGGTCAAAAAAGTTGATGCAATTGATAGCTCTCAGCAGTATCTTTCTGCATATGAAGATTGATAAATATATCTTGAATTGTTTATTCAAAACTGATCTAGACACTAATTTAAGAAAAGTAAGGTCAAGGTCAAAGGAAAAGTCAAGGTCAAAAATTTTGATGCAGTTGAAAAGCTTACATCAGTATGTATCAGCATATGATGTTTTATTGAAGTCGGACATGACAAACACTATATGCCTCGACCATATTCATGGCAGGGCATAAAAAACTTGAATCTACACTATATGAGGATGTTTCCATATCAAAATGACTAACAAGCAAATTCAAAGAATTATGGTCCCCTGCTTTCCGTGTCCTAGTGGATGGGATGCCATTATTTATGACATATTGTTTCAAATATGCATGCCCTATCATATGTCATTCAAAAGTAATCACCAAAGTTAAAATTTTTGAACATTAGGTAAAACATCAAGGTCAAGGGGTAAAAAAATCATAGCATGCTCGAAAACCACTTGTTACAGGTAATGTACATGTCAAATATGGAAGTCCTATCTCTTCTCAATAAAAAGTTATAAGGAAATATAACATTTTTGAAAAGTAGGTTAAAGTTCAAGGTCAATGTCACAGAGTCAAAAGTCATGATATATTTAGAAAGGTCTTGTCACAGGTAATATACATGTATAATATGAACGCCCTATCTTTTCTCTTTCAAAATGATCATTTAAAATAATGTTAAATTTTTTGAAAAGTAGGTCAAACTTCAAGGTCAAGGTCATGGGTTCAAAAATCATGGTATGTTTAGAAAGTTCTTGTAGGTAATGTACATGTGAAATATGAAAGCCCTATCTCTTATTATTCAAAAGTTATGACCAAGGTTAAATTTATTGTGACAGACGGACAGACTGACAAATGGACGGACTGACAGACAAATGAGATTTAATGTCCCCTAGGTCCCTTTTGTGAAAACGGACGACAATAATGCCCTTGCTGTTCATGAGAAGAAGATTTATGATGGAAAAAATCCCCTGCATTTTTCTATGTAAATCATTGGATCCCCATATGTGGCCCCACCCTACCCCAGTGGGTCATAGTTTTAACAAATTTGAAGCTACACTAAGTCTATGTAAAGAAAGTTTCAACTTTTTGGGCCCAGTCAGTGGTTCTTGATAAGACTTTTTTAAAATGATACCACCAAATTTTCACTAATTCTTGATTATCCCCCCCTTGAAAGAGGGTGTGACCCTTCACTTGAACAAACTTGAATCCCCTTTACCCGAAGATGCTTTGTGGCAGGGTTGGTTGAAATTGGCCCAGCGGTTCTAGTGAAGAAGACAAAAATGTGAAAAGTTTACAGGCGGACAGATGGATGACAAACAAAATGTGATCAGAAAACCAGAAAAACTCAAGTAAGCTAAAAACTGATGATCACAAGTACTTGGAAAGAGTTACAGTATTTGAAAAGCAGTTTTTTTTTTTCATGCATTGTTTTCAGAAGCTGAAAAGGTATGACTTATATCATGTTGAAAAAACTTCACATTTCAGAAAACAGTATGATTAAAAATAGTTAATTAAGGTGCTTTGAGTAGCAAAATAAGCTAAACTGGTATAGCTAATTCAACCACAGAGCTTAGTGAATTTTAAAATGCACAACCTTGTTGTTTAATGTCCCTCTTGGGAATTTTTCACTCATACGGAGACACCACCACTTAAAAATAATGAAGACATACAAGTCAGATTTGAGGTTAACATTCATTTTAGGAGTTTTCAACAATTAAGACGTAAAGAGATAACTCCTTCCCCTTGCCCCTTCCCAGACCCCTGTTTGTTCATGTATGCAAACTAGTCTAATACTTTGGTTTGACATAAAAAAATGTGAATATATACAAATAGTTTAATGGTCCATCTCTTTGAATGATTTTCATTCCTAATTCTAGGAGGGTACATGGGTTGACCCAAATTCATGAATGAAATGTCAAGTAATCTTATCATTGATGCACTTTTATTTAATTTGATGTAGTCATATTATGAACATTTCCAGTTCATTAAGAGAGTGGGGATGACCTCCAGGGGTTCATAACCTTAAACCATTAGATGTACATAACATAATAACACAAGAAACAAAATTATGTATAGTCAAATGAAAAAGTTTTCTACTATTCAGGAGTCACATGATCATTTGTCATTTCAGGGACAGGGAGCAGCTAGGGAGATTGGAACCCCCCCCCCCTGGAATTTGCAGAGTTATTTAAATAGGACTATATACTGATTTACAGAAGCAAATAAAAAATGACTTTGGATGCCCTCCCCCTTTAAAAACATGGACCCCACCATCATTGTTTTTATTTTGTTTGTTTGTTTTTGTTTTCGTTTGTTTTTTTTTTTTTGTTTTTTTTTTTTTTTGCTTCTCAGGAAATTCTGCACTGGAATTTTTTTTGGACTGAGGTTTGCCCCCCCCCCCCCCGGAAAAAAATTCCCGGATCTGTGCCTGTAACTGAATGTAATGTCGACAACGGGAGATAACTCTTCTTCAGAATGCGAAATTCGTCTATTGTGGCATCTGATCCACTCTCTACCATCGGCTCATACATTCAGTGTCTGAGAGAGAAACGAACGACAACTCTGCATAGGAGATTGCCGATGATCTTTGATCCTTTTTAAACTTTAACCTAACTATTTGCATTTCGGTTTATTTTACCCCAATCTAAACTTAAACTTGTACTTACCGACTGTCATAGGTCCTGTCAACTTCATGAAATATAATCCAATTAAAACACAAAATGAATTAATTTCCACTGATATACATGTAACACTGCACCATGTCACATGGCATGTGCAATCTAAAAATGATAATGGTAAAACTAGTACTCGCACTGGTAGGGTGACGCAAGCCCAATGTGATGTAGAAATTTTCAAAAAGGTGTTCACATACATGTACAATACAAGAACAAATTCTAAATTATCATAACAAACGATGTTTTAACATAACTATGCCATCTAGGCCTATTTCCAAAAACAGGCAAATTGTGTGTGTGTGTTGGGGGGGGGGGACAAAATTGATTGGGTATGGCTTTTCAAGGAGGTTCTTGCTTAATCAAATACTAAAAAAAGTTTGCACATTTTGATAAATTCATCAAAAACGCTTTGTACTGAAATAATATTATTTGTTGTTGAGAAAATAAATTTAAAAAGTTCCAATTATGGGCCAAAAATTTATATCCCCCCCCCCCTTTTATCAAAATCTAATTTACATCATTAATTAAATTCTGTTATTTCAGACTGGTAATGAATTAAGTATATGAAATGCGTATAAGAGGTTCATGGGTCACATGGTCACCTGAGCATTTTATGCTCGATTTGACGAATACATGTACTGTGTAAATTATAGAATTATTTGGACTTTTTCCTTGGTAAGCCCAATATGAAGGAGTGTGCATTTAGAGGCAAACACCTTAGTGCGGGTATTACTGTCTCATGACAGCATCTAGCTAATATTTGCAAGTTTCTATTCATTTTCATGAGTTAAATTATATCTCTAAATAACAATATTAAGAAAACTTGTGTTCTAAACTTGACGTCATCTCGCCTACTATGACGTCATATTGTATCGCTGATTTGGTCAAGTCAGATTATCTTAGTGCTTCCTTAACACACCTGCGTAGAATTCATAACAATTTATTTAATATATAATTTAGGACCAGCATAAAACAGTTCGCGGCACAAAAAATCTTCGTGTGCAGGCTGCATGGACAATAGGAATCCAAACTTAACAATACTTTAAATACTTTGAAAGAGAAAAATTACCATTTCCTTCTAAAAAATCTTCCGCCACAAAATATAGTTCCTCACTTAATGCTTTTGGTATGGAATCTAATCATGGGATTTTAACTGAATATAGTTTAAATGGCATTGCAGAATCCAAATTTATTGTACAAAATAAAACATAATGCAGAATTTTTGAAATATAGGTCAAGTAAAAAATCTGCTCAAAAGCTCAGGAGCGAACCTCTTTAAACATTTTAATCCCGGACTTTTAGGCTATGATAGAATGATTAACGCACTGGTATAACTTACATAAGATGGACATACTGATGCTTCATACAATACCTCCCTAGTCGCATGATTATTCAAACTGTTGTAGTAAGCCTCAGGCGATAATCCTCTTATATTATTGATTTGGTCGATCGATTAGTGACGTTACCACACTGATAAATAGGATGGGACTGCTTGATTACAAGTTTAGTCAACCGTAACGATGAAAGGAATAAGTATCTTTATACTCCTGTTTGTGGTAGGTAAGTATCTTTAATGACTATAAATTAACAGTAGAAATCCAAAAAATTAAATAAATAGATACATAAATAATTTAAAACTGAATCAGTACTGTAAAAAAAAAAATAAAATAGATAAATTTAAGCAATATCGTTCAGATTGAATGAATTAAAATTTATTTCTTACTTTATATTTTTTTTATTTAGATAAAAATATTATTAATACTCCTACAATATCTGCCTTTTTGTATTATTTTTGTTCGTGATTAAGTTACTAAAACATATTGTTTATATATGCATACTATTAAATCTTATAAATACAAAAATGTAATAATAATAGGAAGACTCCGTTTCAAATTCCAAAGAACTTGTATACTATATTTACCGTTATGATAATATTGTAAATGCATTCCAATTATGCTCTAAACTATATGAATTTTTTGACTAAATATGCATGTTAATATTTTAGACTGCATAAGGAGGAATACCATAACTTTAAAGAAATCACCTTCCTTAAAAATTTTTAATTAATGCGATTTCCATTATTTTTTTGTTTTAATATTTCAGCATAAGTAAAACATATTTTATTAAATTTTATTAAGAAGGTTTTATTTTGGTTTTATTTCAGTTGGATCTGTAGTAGGTAAGACACCCTGTCTCTCAATATACATTTCATAATTAGATTAATATTATCTAAAGATGATTACAGTTTTATAAAAATGCTTCCTTGAAATTTAGCAAAGCATCATTAATCCTACTGAAATGATCTATCAGGACAATAAAAACCCTTTCACGATTTGACGATTGTATTTTGTTTCTTTCCTGTTAGTTATGAGATTTCAAATTCAATACCCTCATATGATTCGTCATAGAAAAAATTATTTAAACTTCAGTACAAGATTAACTTTAAATTACAATAAAGCATTCCCCTCCTAGGATATAGTTCGCCTATCGTCTAAGCCTCACCGTATTTTTTACGCCTCATACCTAAATGTTAACCTATTTGAATTCCGTGAAACTCTTTCGGGCCTTGTATAAAAAATAGTCCTTTTTGAAGTCTCTTTTTAAATAAAAAGGAACCGGTTACGGTAGCCTTGTGGTAGGACGTTCGCTTTGTGATTGGTAGGCCTGGGTTTGATTCTCGTTCGCCTCCAGCGTCAAACCTAAGACGTAAACATAGGTAGTGACTGTTCCTTCGCCAAGCGCCCGGAATTACAATTGAAAAGCACTGTTCTTTCGGATGAGACGTTAAAAATCGTGTTCCCGAGTTTTGGCAGGCTTTGGCACGATAAAGAACCGTCACTGCTCAATAGCCCTGCGTGCCGATTATAGGTCTAAATCTGAAGACTTTCACCGGTATATGGTGACGTTTCTTTATGATTGAAAATTTCCCGACTGGTAGGTAAAACAACACACAATAACAAATAATAAATAATCTTCTTAGTCACTTATTTTATAATCTTTATATATCTATTACCTGTGCTATGTTCGGTAATTTGGATAAACCTATTTAGTCTCCCCGTGTCTTGTTTATGATCTATTATCTAGACATGACATGTCCCTCATTTGTTTGTTGTTCTTAGATTTACCTAGTTTTTACATTTATTTCATCGTAGAAGTAAATTTTTTCTTTAGAAATGATAAAATCTTTGATTTCTTTTCGAAAAAAATATTCTCAGAGAACAAGATACATTATGTATCATTCCATAAATGGATAAATATCAATAAAATATTGTCCAGTTTTGTAACTTATACGTAATATGTAATTTAATATCAATTTCTCTGACATACATCTGTACATTTTATTTTGGATCTTGCTAACTCCATTGGGTTGAGGTTCCAACAAAACTGAATTGTATTTTGCCAACTAAAGCAAAATTACCAATTTTATTTCCTTTTTATTGAAGATGCAACGTGCATCCTCGAGGGATTTCTTTCTGCTCAATTTAAAGGCAAAGAGGGACTACCTCTTATCACCAAATCTAAAACTATAATATATCATACTCTATTACACAAAGTCGCTCAAAACATTGTGCAATTACTCAATCACTATTATTATAACCTGTATAAGTCTTTAGGTCTGTCTGTTCGTCTGTCCGTCCATCAGCTCGAAATCAGTTTCTTTTTCAATGAGATTGTAGACTTTTTAAGATGTTTATATAAAATGGGTGGGCCTTATGCGAGTCTTTCTCGATAAGTTTAACGTCAAGTTTGCATTCACTCCGCAACGACGGTTTTTAATGGGTTTATGGCCCATAGTTAGGGATCAGTATTGCTTTTGAAATACTCTTGGATCTAGAATATTCTTTTACTTTATATTAAGGTGACTTCAACCCTTTTGTAAGTCAGTTCTACGGACATGCATTGAGCATGCGTGGACGTGCTTCTAATCTCAGTCCATACGGATATGGACAGCGATCTGGGTATTACGGAGGAGGGTTTCCATACGGATTTAGTTCAGACCAGTCGATGTCTTCGTCCATGGAATTTGATTAAAACGTTAAACGTATGTAAAAAGTATCACGGACATGTAGATAAAATTTAACTTTTTTGACAAAAATTTCTAAGGGAGGTTAATAAAAATCATGAATTTTTGTTTTATTAAAAGTCTTATTATGTTTTGTGAAAATGACATTTTTTTTTTTCAAATGATGTGATTTTTTTTCATCTTTCAGATGACCAGCAAATGACAAAGAAATGTGTTTCTCAACATATTACTTCTCCTCTTATCCTTCAGGCCCTCTCTGTTCAGCTAATTTTCCCTAATAAAATTTAGCTTAATCTTCAGTTCTTGATTTTTGAAATTAAATACTTCAGTGAATCATAACCATTAATTGAAAGTTAGAGAATTTTTTACTTTTTTAAACTGAAAGTTGACAAAAAGTAGATAATACTTCCATTCTAAATATTAGTTCAATATTTATATTTACTCACTTGTTAAAGAATTATTTTAGTAGATTTTAGCCTTTTTGCCCTTCAGGACACAATATTGAAGATGTATAGGTGAAGAACGACCGTAGTGGATTCCGTTTTAGCAAAACTCAAACTTTGCCTTCTTATATTGCACCAGATGTCAGTTGCTTTCAATTAAAAAAAAAATAATAATTCAGAATCGGGGCAATTACGTTAGGTTAGCTGCTTACACTATCCAAACACATCTGCTCATTTAAAAAAGTAAAAGCTGTGATGTAATATAGATGAAAGCGCATAAGAAAAATCCCAAATTATCATGTGATACTCCAATTTTAGTAGACTAAGTGTTAAGAGAGAAAAATGTTCCAAAATGTAAGTTCCCCTAATTTCGAGTTGCCCGTTGGGAGTGCTACATTATCATTATTATTCCTTTGTACCTGAAAAAAAAACCTGATTGCTCTTTGATATTTTCCTGGCTTTGGAATTGTATTTTCTCAAACATCAACCTTTGACTTTACGATAAGTAATCACGTGCGGTAGAGCAAAGATTCTGTCATGGAAAATCCAGGGATTAAATTTATGGAGGTTCATATTTACTCTTTATATTTAGTGCACGGGTACCGGTAAGTACAGTCAAGGTTCATTTTTTTTCTCATTTGAATAAATTTTGCTTTCAAGTTTCAGCAGTTGGCACAAAAAAGTGTACACTTACATTTGTTTCTATTTTGTTTAGAATGTCGGAGGAATGTAACTAAGAAAAGAGTAACCTATCAAAAATCTACTATAATGGTAAACTACAGTTTTTTTCATTGATAACATAGTTACTATAGTAGGGAAGTTTTTTTTGTAAGAGTAAATTAATTAATTAATTAATCAATCAAAGTTTTTACGATAGTAAATTACTGTTTCTATTATGATTTTCAAAAAGGTATATATGTATTTTATTTTCGCCAAAATAATTGAGATTTTTTTTTTATATTAAAAGGATATATTATTTGTACATTTCAAAAATTTTCAAAAATTAGAAAGAAATTTTCGAAATATGTAGACCCTAAGAGTGGCAGAAAAATTCTAGAGTAAAGTTCCATATAGTCAAATCAAAGTATCAAATATTTACAGTACAGAGATAGTAAACTGTAGTTGATCTAAATATTGTAAATGATATTCAATTAAAGTAAATTTTTGTTATGGAACAAGTTATACTAACCCTCTATTTAAAAATATAATGAGAAAGAAATTGAATATATATTTTATTTATAGGAATTGTTTTTTTTTTTTCAAATAAAAAATCAAAAACTTTGAATTATATGTTTGTACTATTTACGTTCACGGATCAGTAGTTTACACTCGAGGAAATACATTTCTTATCCAATATTTTCAAATATGAGAAGACTGAAATTCAATTGAGATACATGAAGACAAATTAAGACAAATAGTCAAAATGCAATACCGAACTACAGCTTATTTAAAAGATGATGGTTTTACGCTTAATGGCGCGAAGTTGATATATATGAAATCCGTGCGATTCCCGGACTAAGACGTATATAAAAGCCTGAGTACACAAATCGCCTCTCATCAGTTACATCGTCAGCAGGTGCGCGTGAAATTAATACTCCCGGTGATTAGTCTTTGGCAGGTCCAAAATGAAGACTTACGTTGCTATTGCTCTGTTACTCTGTAAGTATTGTCAATTCTTTAACTTTGTAATAAACAGTCAGTCTTACTTACACTGAACTAAAGTATAATAATTTTCAGCTAAAAGAATTTCCTTTGATATATTTGGTGTAAATTGCACCCTACATATTTGGAGCTTTTTCGTTTGGACAAATTTTTATTTTACATCGAAATATTATTATGAATTTTTAACATTTTTGATTCAAATGTGTAAGTGGACATTGTGTTTTTCCGGATTTGAAAAAAGGTCATTCTGTACACACTACTTATTTTAGGTGTATTGGCAGCTGGTAAGTAAACATTTATTTATTCATATTAAAATTCACTTTTATGAAAGAAAATGTATGAATTACCATTACATGTACTTAAACTAAGATTACTTTTTACAATAATGTTCCTTTTCTATACTATTGTCAACATTATTCTGCAATTGGCTTCTAAGCTATAGTTTAAATATTTGTAACCCGAAAATTTTCTTCTGCAATATAACGTTATTTCATATAAGACTGTCTTTTCAGAATTTACAATGTACACTGCATTCTACAATGAGACGACAAAATCTTATTCATAAAAGACTCGCACATGCATATACTTTATTTTTCTTTTACCAAGGCTTAAATTTCCTGAAAGAAAATGTAAACTCGGGAATTCCTTGAAAGCAAATATAAAATATTGTATAAAATAATTATAATGAACATCCTTTAAGTATAATTAATGTCTTGTTTATGATATTTTCAGCCTCTGTAGAAGGATACTGGTATGGAGGTGGGTACTAATGTACATTTATACTTTATATTAGATTGTTAAAAGGTTAACGAACGTACAGTTAATTTAAAACTGTCTAATTTGGATGTTGTATATTCTGAAATCATGCTTATTACGATGAAAACATTGCCCCTTTAAGTTTATGTAATTGTTTACAATGTTGTCTTACCGGAATGTCTAAACTGGTAAACTACCTATTAAATGAAATATGTGAAGATAACGAACAGCGATCGATCTTAAAAAAAAACCCACAAACGATACAAATCTGTCAACAGGGCATAAAACACGGACCCCTGGAAATTCCAGAGGTGGGGACAGGTGCTAAAGAGGAGTAAGCATTTCCTACGACTGATCAAATCCGCCGTGTCCCCTATGTCTTGATCAGGGAGACAGCGTAATGCGTAGAGTAAAATAATTTATTACAAAATAAATGCCTAATATGTCAGTCAAAATACAACGAATGATAGGTTGTATTTGCTAACAAGGTCATTATAACGACCATAGAATTTACAAAATGCTGACTTTAAACTAGGATGTTTCAATCTCTGTATTATCATCTTATTTGTCATTAGCCTGTCTGGACTTAAAGTTTGATCATACCGAGAGCATGTTGTTCAAATCTTATTAGTTTGGAGACATAAACATCATATCCATATGATGTTGGAATATTACTACACAAATAAGAAAAGTTGACGGTGGAAAAAACTGAAGTCATTTCCTTGTCAAACAGTTTAATCTCAAGTTTGCCCTATCATCTATAGTCAAATAAACATCCAAATATGAAACATATAAGACAGACTCTATGATGTCTTTTTTTCGAGTTCACTGGGATATATAGTCTTGTGATTTTACAAGCCTTGTCTGCTGGAACCATAGCATATTGTTCATGCAGTCTTTCCAACTTTCTATCTCTTCCTTTTTAGTGAAAACGGAAGGATATATGTTCGCTTATTGCCTTTTAAATAACAAAACGTATAAACAAGCGATGTCCGGATTACCCGTTTTACTCTAATTATTTATTTCTGTATTGAGGTTCACATTCTATTTAATTGTTCAAGTATTCACTTATTCATATTCTATTTGTCTTTAAATGTCAATTATGTACTAGTGCAGTCAAACCTCCTTATCTCGAACTCAATGGGACCAAGAAAAAATCTGGAGATATCTGAGGATTCGAAATATCCTGGGCAAAATACTTCAAGAATAAAGGGTTGGGACTTCCAAATCAGTTCGACATACCCATGATATTCGAGATATCAGTATTCGAGATATCGAAATTCAACTGTAATAACATTTAAACTGATATATGATAATTACCAAGATATTCAATATACATTGTAATGTCCTTGTCGAACAACCAGAAGAATCAATTCCACTTCCCAAAGCGTCCAGAAACACACAGAACGTAGAACTACATTTTAACAATGAATTGTAGAGGTTACAAACGGCAATCAAAGTTCAAAAATCGAATTTAACAAAACTCTTTGGGTGCAAAGAGATATCTTCAAAAATAGTAAGTGGGATCAGGTGCCTAAAAGGAGTAAGCATCCCTTATCGACTGTCACACTACCTTGAGTGATACTGTCTTCATTGGGCAATGGGAGTAATCTGTACACAATTTAGTATGAAAATAATGGTCTTACAATATGGATTAATTACGTCAGTCATCAATCAACATAATACAGATTGTAAATGCTAGTTAGGCTATGTAACGACCACAATATTTGCGAGATGTTGACTTTGATAATTTTTATTCAATCAAATGAAAAGCTATCGAAATGTTTTCCTTTTCTATAATCAGTTTTAACAGAGATGGATTATTGTACTGGTAACAAAGACTTCATTGACGAGTGAGGCGTGGTTTAGAAGAAGTCGTAATTAGGAGAGTCTGTTTGATAGAAACTATATTATGTCCATCAAACACTCCATATATATTTATTTTTTTCTATCTAGGTTATTATGGAAGGGGCTTATTTGGTTACGGAGGTTATGGGGGCTATGGAGGCTATGGATATGGGAGATTTCCATACTACGGCCATGGACATGGCGGACTCTACTATAACCCAGTCCACGGACTTCACACCCACAGTCACCATGATTTTGACCACCCAGTTTACTGATCCTGCTGTTATCCCGGGTTAATGACCTGGTCATCTGACTGATGTTAATTGTTCAGCTAATAAAACATGTAGAATTTTGAGAAGCTTTTTTGTTTTGAATAAAAGAAATTTACACTTAGTTAATTGCTTTAGAAGCCTTGCAATAAATGAAGGACAAAGAATCTATTTTTCTTTCACTACAAGTAATAACCTTAGAACATGTGTACCTCAGATATTGCTACGATGCTACAGTTTGACTTTAACCTAGTAAGAAACATCAAAACTCTGCCTGCTGGTCTCAAAATACGTGGATTTGAGGAATGTTCTCATAACTGGTTAGTATGTTTTTTTCCCTTGTCCCAAAATTTTAAATCTGCTTTGAAATATAATACTTTCAAAACATTCAATAAATGCTTACTGAGAAAAATCAAAAATGTTTAATATCCCTTCTGGCCACCCCTGAACTTGAAGATAAAAGTCTTGCCATATGGCAGCCAACCGCCCGCCCGACATTTTCACCATTTTAATAACATTGTATTTTCTCTGGAAAAACAGATAACAAAAACAAAATAAACAACTCGTTACAGGGGCTTGTTTTCGTTTCTTTCTGCTGATGGCAATTGTTATCTCCCGTATAGACAAATAAGGAAGGCATTCTATTGTTCAAAATTTGTTTAATACTCGAACGATGTATAACAACAATCGAAAAATAATTTAGACGTAAATACACATACATAAACATCTTTATAAATTCACACATTATTTAGTAGTATTATATATTATAAGCAAACTAATGCATTTCGTATTTCTTGTAGGATTTCATGCATTCAGTTCCCCCTCATACACATTTATATGATAAAACAAGATAGCACCGTATCCAAAATGAAAATAATAAAAAGTAAAAACTAAACAATCCACTTAAAAAACTATTATAATATTTTAAAAAAATAACACACTGAATTTGACAACGTGACATAAACATTCAGCATTGGGAAAGATTAGATATCTTGAAATACAAAGTTTAAGCATGACATTCTATTCATCAAGCACCATGCACGGTTGCAAATAAGAATAATACATGTACTAATTAAATAAATAATACTGCTTCTGGACTTTTTCATACTTATGAATGCTTCATACTTATACTTCATACTGGTCTTTTTATAAGGACTTCTCTCCAGAGACTTCTATTCACAATGAGCAATGAATCGATCCACAACATCGTGACAAAATTTGTACTGTGTCTGAAATAAAACAACAGTAGCTAAAGAAAAATATCTTTCAGCCAAAGACTGAGGATTATATCAAAGTGTCTAATATTAGTAATAGCCAAAGAATTTACATAAAAAATATAAAAAAGTCCTTTAGTGTCAGCACAAAAGGTGCCTTCTAGAATATAAAACAAAAAAATTAAACATTTTTTTTTCTTAAAATCTTTAGGATTTGAAAAAAAAATGCATTGTATTTAAAAGATAGATTTAATGAATTTCAATCTGATACTTTTGAATGAAAGATAAATGAAATTCCTTTTCTTACATAGTACGGAACTAGCTCCTTTCGCCTCGCTCGTATGTGGTTTAGCATGTATGGCATTGCAACACTGTTATCCGAATTTACTCTGTCAATAGCAGAAGCACAGAGGCAAAATAGACCACTTTTATCAGCACCATTTCTAAAAACAAATTTACAAGACAGGCGTTAAAGAATTGTGGTATGAGAAGGTGGGAAACACTTAAGATATAAGAATGAAAACGGTAAATAATTTACTGTTTGTACGAGAACGATGGTAAACTCAATGGAACAAAAAAGGTGAAAAAGGTTATAGAAAAACATAAATTGTAAACACTAATGGCATAAGCAAAGATTATAATTAATTATTGTACTTAACTACAAAGGTAGTAAGGGTTTGTGCATCAAAGAGTTTTTAAAAATAATTATTGTAAAAGAAGGGTCATGGTAAATAATCACGGTACAAGAAAGTTTGTATATAATTATTGAAGAAAAATGATTAACACTATGCAATAAATAAAAATGCTTAACAATTATAAAACAAAAAAATAGGTTAACAATTATGGTACAAAAAACAAACTTAAAACTAGCTTCCAACTATTCAAAGTTAAACAAATTAATCAACAATAACTTACTTGCAGTGCACTAAGATGGGATGATCTCCAGACTGAGTTTGCCAAGGCAACACATCTTTCACGACGGCAAGAACGGAAAAAACAGAATCCGGAACAGGCAACGATTCCGACCAGGATTTTATCTGATACTGGCGAATTTCCACTACACCTTCCAAGTCCTGTTAAATATTAATTTGTTAAAAAGGACAGTACTTGTTTTACAAGAATGAAGGAATTCTATTTTAACTGTACTTGAATGTATTTGACAGAGATTTAAAAGAAACATATATTAATAAGCGTTTAACTTGTTTTTTAAATAGTTAATTAACGTAATAAAAGGTGGTTATCTCCATCATAGCACTTAAATTCACACAATTGTTTATTTGAATTAAACCTTACTTATAATGGTATAACCAATGGTTCAATTAAGATGTTAAAATGTCAATAAAAAATACTATATGGCATTACAAATACCCCGGTATCTCTCTTTTGAGGACATTGTATCTTGTTTTAAAATGATACCTAATTATACCTAATTCTTTGAGAATCATTGCCGATTTTGTTAGAATAAAAATACAATACTCATATGATTCATGTATTAATCTTTAAGTAGTTTTTGATATGTTCATTACTACATATTCCTTATTTTCTAGTGATGAACATTTCTGAAACCTGTACTTGGTCCCATGTCGATAACTGCAAAGAAATTTACTGCCATTAACACTAATGAATTTGTACGAGACAAATCTGAGACAGAAAAGTTGCAGGGAAATTATTTTAAGTTGGTTTTACTTATGACTAATGTAAATGAAATAAATAAAAGAAAATAATATCAATAGGATAGATACACAATATACATGTAAGATTAATGACTATGTGGTAGTATTTATTGTTACTAGACTTACGTCATGTTTTCTGATTCGAATTCTATAGTATGGTTTTCCTGACCTTGATACTATAAGACTTCTCTTCTGTTTAAGAAGCACATATTTTAAGTGTCTCGTACTGAAGTACAATGTACATGTATTTAATGGTTTAAATGTTTTACAAAGCAACCCAAATCTAAGCAGTTACGTCCTTACTTTCTGTTTGAGAACAGCATTATAAAAAAAAGCAGCAAAACAAGATTTTTTTTTTTTCGAATACAAACAGGCAGTGTTAACGCAGAATAAATGTCTTGTTATATCAATGAAGCAGCAAATTAAATTTTTTGACGCAGACATTTAGTTGAAAAATACATAAACCTTTACTGTACAAAATTGTTGTGTGAAAAAAATGCAACGAACAGCACACTGTGATCTTCAAATGAAATGTACTCACTACTAGGTTTATACTGTCACGATCACTCTGAAAGGCCAATCATTGAATGCACTATTATTCTATTTAAATATTATGCATGTATGCAAACCTACTCTAAAAGTAACAATACTCACATTAAATCAAGGAAAACGTGCCTTTCACGTAAATATTTGGAATGTTATTTGTTAAACAACTCTTTATTGAGACAAAAATAAGGACATCTGTAAGGTAAAAATGTAAACGTGCAGTATGTGACGAAAATTTCCTATCAACATTTCTTTCAATGTTGTTCCGCGGTTAATCATACGATTTTTTTTAATGTTTTATGTTTTATTGTAAGTACTTTCAAAGTTCTGAAACTCCGTTTATTCCGACCTTTGACCAGGGTCATGATTTTGATAAATTTAAGCATGCATTAAAAATTAATTTGTATCCTTGCTGTTTGCATTTTTTCATTTTTAAATTATCATATGAAAACACTGAAGAATGATTGTTGTCCCACCTGCTTTAAAGATATTCCTCGAAACTGTAAGCCTCTTTTGTAATAAAACCATGGCACACGTGTCATGACTTGAAAATAAATTTAAACTAAATGCATCTATGCTTTTACTACTACGAAGATACACTCGATACTTGTCTTTTAACAATTCTGACCTTTTGCCATGTAAATTTTGATCAAATTTCTTATTTTGTCTCTCGGTGGGCAAGGTGTTTTGAGTTTAGAGGTTTTTCAATAGTATATGTAGAAACTTATAGTATGAGTTTAAGTTTGAATTGTTATAAAGACTAAGTGCTTTTCCTAATCTCAAATTAAAGTTTCTCTAATTCTGTATCAGGTTCCAAAGATCTCATTTCTAAAAGTAAGTAAAAATTGAAATTTGAATAAATCTGGAAGTGTGTAACCACGAGAAAATTTGACAAACTCTCGGAAAGATGTCAGACTCAAGTCCACGATGTCAAATTTCGACCGATTGGCCACTTTTGTCCTCGTCGTCAAAAAACAGACACACAAAAAATGATCATGGCTGATACCTGATCGACTAAAAATGTTCTTTGCAGATGGAAAAAAAAACATGTGCATGAGTGTCAAATGTCAAAAAACTAAAAACAATAGTCATGCATCTGCAAAATAATACGAAACAAACAATCAGTGACCCAGATCATTTTGAGCAAATTTGCTTAAGAATGTTAAAAAAGGTTCAATATTCCCGAGGAGAATATTGAATTCAGAATACAGAATGAGAAATTAAAAGCTCACCCCTATGCTATAGTGAAGATCTATTGTCCTACAAATGTAGTGCTCTTCCTCGGACACGCTCTTGACTGCAATACGAAATGGTCCACACACCACACTCTCTCCTGGATCCGCCCAGTATTTCCCATCCTATTGGTTTACATGATAAATAAACACTTTAAATTTGAAACTATCATTACGTGTAGCTATGAAAGACTACGGTTTTTAATTGCTTCCTTAAAACTTGGGAATAAATACTTATGATTTCTTCCAAAACTTAACATTCTCCCTCCTTTAACTTATACGAGATACGATATTTCCAGTTTTTTTGTTCACAATACAAATTATAAAGGCAACAACGAAAAATCCGGAAACTAACAATTAACATGTAATGCAACCCCCCCCCCCCCGTTTCTCCTTAAATAATTCTAGATACCTTTAAACTGTTTCAACGATATTTTATCATAAACTAGTTATAATTGTAACGGGGACCGTTACAGATGTTCCCCAAACGCTCACCAACACCCTTTTGGTGTCTTATTTCCTGTAAGCTTCATTAAATAAGGCAATGAAGTATATTGGTCGTTTTTCGCATTTCACGCGCACGCACGTGCATGCATGTGCAGGATGACCATGTCTTCCCGTCTATACTATTAATGCATCTTTACATTCTCAGTATCAAAACATTTCATAAAAAGTATATAAGTTCCGGCTATATCAAGTATATTGGTCATCTTAGCATTGCGCGCATGCGCACCTACATGCATGTTCATAATGACCACGCCATCTTGTCTACACTTATAATTTGTCTGTTTATTCTTAGTATCAAAGCTTTTCATCAAAAATTATAAAAGTTACGGCTATATTAAGTATATTGGTCATTTAACATATTGCACGCGCGCGCATGTGCATGCATGTGCGTGATGTCCATATTATCTTGTCTACACTTTTATTATATCTGTATATTCTTAATATCAAAGCTTTTCATCAAAAAATATAAAAATTACGGCTATATTAAGTATATTGGTCATTTAACACATTGCACGCGCGCGCACGTGCATGCATATGCATGCATGTGCATGATGACCATGTCATCTTGTCTACACTTCTAATATATATAAATATTTTGAATATCAAAGCATTTCATCAAAAAGTATAAAAGTTACGCTTATATCAAGTATATTGGTCATTTTACGCTTTGCGCGTGCGCGCACGTGCATGCATGTGCATGTTGACCATGTCATCTTGTTTACACTTTTAGTATATCCTTATATTCTGAGTATCAAAGCATTTCATCAAAAAATATAAAAGTTACAGCTATATCAAGTATATTGGTCATTTTACGCAATGCACGCGCACGCACGTGCATGCGCGTGCGCGCAAAATGACCTTCGTTCCGCAAATCTACATAACATTCCTATTAACCCTAAAAAGGTTTCACTTCAACCGGATGTGTAGTTTCGGAGATCACTCACGGACAAAAAAGTACCCAGGAAGAAAAATAATAATAACTAGACTCTTGTTGCCATGGCAACAAAAAAGTCTTCCGTTCTTCTAAATCTGTAAGAATTTGCTTTTTTCTGTGTAAAAAACATACATATCATATTTACTGTGAAAGAAAAAAATAACTGGAGAAAAGTCCTTTCAGTACTTAAGGTACTTTGATTTTCATTATCAATCTTGTATAATACATTTGGCACCTATAAGAGATATACGTATATCATTAGCAATTTTAAAAAAAAAAATGTTTGCAATCATTTCTAAGACAAACAAACAGACGAACGAACACCGTACTATCATAAACTTCACTGTGTGTATGTTTTGGCATAATTGTGATGGTGTTATAAAAAAAATATAATGAATTAATTTAGTATCACATTAAACGTAAAGTCACTGAGTTTTGTAAAGTTATAATATCAAGATTTGACAACATACCTATAAGACAAATTATTCAATTACAGTAATTCTTCAGCAATCGATTGATTGATTGATTGATTGATTGATTATACGTATGTTGTTTAACGTCCCTCTCCAGAATTTTTCACTCACATGGAGACGCCACCACTCGCCGGTGGAGACTGTAAATTTTTGTCCTATACTTTGGAATTTATCGCAATTGAGCAGTGGGGAATCTTTTTTATGCCAGCATCTTCTGCGACAAGGGACCTCGATTTATACGATCTCATCCAAAGGACCGGTCTCCACGTCCCACAGTCGAAGTTCATAATACCGAGATATTTTATTTTATTCTATTTTTTTCACAAGTTTGTTGCAGCAGATTTACTTAAAGATCATACTTCAAGATCATTTCGAACTCAGGCTACTTAATTGCAGTGCATACAGCGTCAAGTGATTTTGATTGACAGGTCAACACACGTGCACTTCGTGTGATACTTTTTAAGCTGAAAAAAATACAGGATGTGACCATGACTGACTATGAAATCAGAAAACATTTAATAAAGAATGGGTGTGACCGATAAAGAACTAATTTTTGGTCTGGATCGGGATTAAGAGGGAATCTCTCCTCTCTCTCTCTCTCTCTCAGACATGTAAATTGAACAGTTCATAATTATAAAATATGAAATTCTGTATACATGTAAATGGTAATGTTATTCACATGTTCCAGATTTAAATCTAAAACGAATATATAATTCAAATTCAAGACGGGGGGGGGGGGCTTCAAAGGAATTAGATAATTTTATGAATTACAAGGAAAAGTACGGACGTCAGTTGCATGTACATGATTATATATCATTGCATAAAATTGTGTTCATTCAGATATACTTATCCCACATATCAACAGACCTGTACAATTTTTTTATCATGTTTTTTTTTTTCAAAAGAAACATATAGCGTACCATTATTTCACACACTCTTTAACTCTTTGAGTATTTCACAAGAATCCAAGAATCGCCTTTTCACATCTTTTATAATTCCTTGGGTATATAGAGTATAGATCATGTGTCATAAATAATTTAACCTTTTATCAAATATATATGTAATAACCAAATCTAATCTATAGATTGATTTTCTTTCTTTTCAGTGGCAGATATCAATTTATTTATAAAGGCTTTAAAACAGTACTGTATTACAATTTTCTATCGCTTAATTCCTTTTTTGAGTGTATGTAATATTTTTTAATATCGAAAGTAAAAACTCGGAAATCGGGATAATTTCGCATTCAGATCATAGAGAATAATAAATCGTCTGCATTATAGAAGGCTTATAACTATCGTATTCTGAACTTAATATACGAAATAGATAAAACTGCATGCCTGTCCATCACTATAAATGTATATTCAGTGCTTATTATATATTTACTTGAATTAGCTACCTAGCATATATATATATTAATTTTTTTTTAGATATATTCATGTGTAAATTAACTAACTGTCAATACAGACTTACACTACACTGGCAACTTCAAACTTTACATGCACTGGAAGCGGTAACCAACGTCCTCTTAAATTTTGAAGAGTGAATATAGAACGCCTAAATATTTTGATATGGAGAGTGTATATGTCTCTAACGTCATCGAAACTATTTCCGCCTTTATCTCGAAAGTTCTATTCTCACTTACAAGTCAGAGTTATCTTTCTTTGCCCATTGTCTACACACTAGGTAAATAGGGAAAATGACGGTACCGAAAATCTGCAAAATGTGGAATCTGATTTCAAAACAAATTATATATTTAGTATTTGTAGAATAACCTCTGTTATACATAATAATATCTTGAAAAAATATTAAAAAACAAAAAAGTTGAAAATTGACCAAACACAAGTTCACTTCCGGTTCGGACAGGAAGTACCGGAAACACACGAAAACAACTTCGAAACAAAGAGAATGTCGTGATCTAATACCCCTGTAAATTTCACATCTTTACCTCAAACCGTTTCCGAGAAAAATTCCGGACAAAAGTCCATTTAAAAATTGGAAATTCGGCCGTAACTTCGGACCGGAAGTGAATTTTTCAAAAAACGGAATTTTATATAAACTTCATATATCAGCCTACTATCATGTGAAAAATTGTGAAAATCTATCCAACCATCTCTGAGTAATCGCGCTCACAAAATTTGGGAGGAATAATAATAATAATAATAAAAAGAAACAATACAATCACTATAAGTCTTCCGTTGTGAACGGAAGACTTAATAATAATAAGAAACAGAGTAAAAACAATATGTTCCCAAACTTCGTTTGGGGAACATAAATATGAACAAAGAAGCCAAAAAGCTTTTCCATGTTCATTTTTCAATTGTCAAACTCGGATAATTCTTTATACTGGTAAATCAATCAGTACACGGGTGTACTTGATAACCTTTAAAAAGAAAAAAAAGAAAGGCAAATCTTGTCAAGATAAGCTCTGTAGATTTTATTTAACGTGCATGTAGGATTATGATTGAGCGTATTGCATTTATGAAATTGGCAGGGGATCCAAATCATTTTATTTTCTACACAGTGAGTCTTAACTTTTTAATAACACGTTTTTGTTTGATTGCTGCTGACCATCGCCATGGCTCTGAATTCCTCTTGACTTTACCTGTGTCTGCTTGATCACTGTTGAGCATTACGGTTGTTCTGAATTCCTCTTCATTTTACCTTGTTTCTGTTTGATTACTGTTGAACATCTTGCTGGTTCTGAATTCCTCTTAACTTTACCTGAATTTCTTACTCAGCACTGTTGAGCATCACAATTGTTCTGAAATCCTCTTGACTTTACCTGAGTTTCTGTTTGATCACTATTGAGCATCACGATGGTTCTACATTCTTCTTGCTGAAGAAGTCTACAGAAGTCAATGATGGTATGTGTTTGTGGCATTTCGGTAATAATATAGGCATACCGCCGTCTGTAGTTCTGTAAAAATATAGGTGTAATTGCATTGTTTGTATTTTTTTTTTAAATCGAAATCTTTGTAATCAATTTCATTGAAAAGAGGAAAAGATTTGCGAGGAAAGTGATTACTAAATGGACTAATCTACAAGTAAATGATCTACTTGATACAATCACTACTTGAATGAAATAATAAATGGTTTAAACTTTAATAACAATGAAATGTACTTAATTCAAAATAGTCCAATCCTCATGATCTGAAAATCAACTGTTAAATAATTGAAAATGCTCACAAAAAATGTCTCTAATATCATCAAGTAATGTGTATTTACCCATGGTATTTCTTCAAAATACATCATTATAATTAATCATATTATATAGGAAAGATTATTAAATCACCAGCTGTGCATTTTCTATTTGAAAATTGATTAAAAAAAAACACACATTTTAGGATAAAAACTATAGCACCAGCTTTGCATTCTCTAATTGAAAATTTATCAACAAACACATTTCGAGACAATTGCATGTATTTTACTTATGCAGTGGCTTAGTTCTATTTACTTCAGTTATAATATAAACAAAGTGTACAAAGCCTGTGCTATCATTGCAAGACATCACAGATCACTTCTTATTTCATAACATACTAAAAGGCATTGGTATCTAAGGTTTGATGAAAGAAATTCGATTTCTCTAAAAAGGCATTTATTTTTGTACTCTTATGGGGTAAAATTGTCAGCTTTTATGATACCGTTTTCAAGACTTCAAAGAACCTTGAATCAGGCTTCGATGCATGATATGAAAATTGTTGCACGAAAAGTTTTTTAATTTCAAGCTGTTTTTATTCTTTTTAAATTAAAATAATAATTTTCAGGGTTATCCTTCCTGGCAGAAGAGAGGATATCCCAAAAGATTCATGGATTAAAGTATAAACTTGATAATTTATCGAGTGAATAAATAAGCAGTCTCAATACATGTACATTTACTTGTTTTAGTAATTTAGTTCTAAATAGTAAAAACAAATTAGCAAGTCTTTGTATTACTATTTACTATTGGAAGTACAAAACAAGATGGCTTACTACTGACTATTCTGACCAACTGTTTACTTAATATTTTTTTTCTAAATGCAAATATTTAAGCATTATTTTAAAAGTTCCCAGTAAAATTTCTAGTAAAATTAAAAAAAAAACACTATAGCGCTTAAACGCCGTGGAAAGAAGAAGAAGAAGAGAGAGAGCGAGAGAGAGATTTATGGACATTTATATAGTGAAAAATCAATTAGCTATATTTATATGTGCAAATGATACATTTCATTATAAATGATATAGGGTTCCTAACACTGCACAAACTAATGAACTGACCAGTGCAATTTCAACTAGCCTGTACTTACCGGTACATATATTGCATTAATGTAGTCGTTACAACCCTGGACACTTGACCAAAGGAAAACACGACAAGAATCAGCTGCAAAATAGAAAGTATATACTGGAAACTGAAAATTTTATTCCTCAAAAATATATATTTTTTTAATCACACTTAAGATAAACAAATATAGTAGCATGGTTAAAACTAAAGTAAATTCCATCGATGGTTACAAAATTTTTGAAAATTTGACCATGAAAAAGGTAACTGAATATAACATTTCTATACTTACGTGCAACTATATTTGTTCTATTTTTAGGTTGATTCTCTGGCAAGTGAGCACTATCATCTCTTTCCATAACTTTCGATATAGACTTAATTTTCTGGAAGAAAAGGCCGACAGGTACAATCAGTGCAGCAAGTTAAAGATCATTTTCTACTTAAATCACTGTAAAAATATTCAAGGAAAAAATCTCACCAAGAACTGTTGCTCTAATTGTCGAGTTGTAGACCCGTTCAGAATTTCCATCATATGTGCATAGTATTGTCTAAACTCTGACGAATTAACGATGGATTTTGAAAATGTAAACGCCTCTAAGATACACTCGTGTATAAATCTGTATTGCTCCTAAAAATGAAATTTCAACTTATATTATCATTTATTTTGTTCATTAGAGAATATTCTAAAACGAAAAGGTAATCGACAAATACGTTGATAATACAAGGATATCAAAAATATAATTTCAAGTCAGCATTTGGCAAATCCAATGATCGATACAATGACCTTGTTTGCAAATACAATCTCTCGTTAAGTCTTATGTTGACTGACGTCTTTCATACAGATTGTTAGGTCATTACGTTCAAATTGAAATGTTTATGGATTTTTTCCGTTTACCAGATCATGGCAAAATGTACACAGTGGGTGTGACCGGTCGACAGGGGATGTTTAACATTCCATGGCAAATAATCCCGCCCTTGCTTCCAGAGGTCCTTGTTGGCTCTGCTCAAAATTTGTATTGTTTATTTTGACTTTTGTGCAGGATCGCTGTTCATTATTTTCACATTTCATTGAACTTTGACCATCTCCTATTCTTGTATTAACAGTCCCTGTCCATATGCATCTTTAAACTTTCTTATAATGTAAATTTCTCAAAAATCCTTCTTGCAGAGTGCAAAGTCCTCTAGGGAATTCTTAAAACTTTCTTTTTAACTTTCTTTTTAACCGAGATTTCATTATAACAGGTTCTTTAAAACGAGTTTGACTGCAATTTGTATTCAGTCGAATCAGAAATGTCTAAACTTTTAAACATGCATGTATTAAGCAGTGCAATTCTGTACGATAACTTTTCTATCTCTTCTCAGAAAATATCAACGCTCAGGCTTTTCGTTCCCATACTAGATGATGAAAAGTGTAATCCAAATGTACTCACTGGAGTTTGAACCATATTGATTCTTTGTTCGCGCATGCTTTTTACACAATCGAATATGTTAACTCTCTGTTCCTTCTCCGCTTGCTCACACAGATAATGTACAGCAATAAAGGCACCGGATCTTCCAACACCGGCACTAAAATTAGATATCAAATCAATGCCCATGAGAGATTGTGCATACAAGTGTACTGAAATTAGTTCTTAGAAATTTGGAAGACCACAGTCCAGCAAAAACAAATTTTTGCATAGATACCTATTTCTATTTAAAACACATTCAAGTTTCAAAGTGAAAAAAAAAATTATCTACTTTATACATTTTTAAAAGTTTAAAAGTCTATCATACCTGCAGTGAACTAATAAGGGCGAATCGTCTTCAATAGACCTAATTTTGTGTAGAAATTCTACAAGGGGCGTGACATATTGGGGAACGCCTCTATCAGGCCACGTGGTAAACTGACAGTGGGTGACACTAAATTCATCTGAACCCTAAACAAAAGAAGGTAAATGAACATTTCCTTATCTCTACATTTATAAATGTTGGTTTAAATACACACGAATATAGTAACTTCACATCGTCTAATAGAATCCGAATGATTTTCTGTATAATATCATGTACTATAATGTGTCCATAAGACACCTACGTTATATGAAATGACATTTCTAATCCATCCAAACCAATCTTTATATTGAATATTAAAATAGTAAACACGTTTGTATTCAGGGTATTTCAACTACATCTGATAAATAAAATTTGATTTTGATAAAAAAGGTAATAACATTTGATGAATATTTACAGCATTTGATAAATCTCCATATCTCATTAATATATAATTTAAATACCTACTTTTGAGAGGGTTAGGTAAGTAACGGTGAAGTCAGCAAACTCATCTTTTCCTTTAAACTTAATTCGGATGCCACCATTCACATACTCGTTGTCATCCATAGGCCAGTACGATAAACACTTACTGACCTGCAAATAACCGATTGTTTTTTTTTATTTTGTTTTTCTTGATAAAGTTTAAATTCAAATGCCTACACAGGTGGCATACACTTACAGGTATTTGTCTATGAATAAAGTGTACCTTTAAATGTTTTCATATAAATCAAATGCCCCCATACTTAAATTAAAATGCCCATGAATTAAATATATACAAACTACTACTTATGAGGTTAAGTCGCCGGCGTGGCGCAGTGGTGAGAGCGTCTGCTCTAAAGCCGCGGAGTAGGGAGTTGATCCTCACGTCGCGGATTCGAATCCCACTTGGGGACGTGGAGACCGGTCCTACGGATGAGACCTATAAACCGAGATCCCGTGTCGCAGTAGGTGCTGGCACGAAAAAGATCCCTCACTGCTCAATGGCCGTAAGTGCCGAGTATAGGTCAAAATTTGCAGCTCTCCACCGGCAAATGGTGGCGTCTCCGTATGTCATATTTAGTGAAAAATTCTCGAGAGGGACGTTAAACAACAAACAAACTTATGAGTTTTATTATTGACATCTGCATTTGAGTTTATGAAGTCCTTAGAAGGCGAGTTGCTGAAGATGAGCCTTCCACGGACTTTACAAGCCCGGATATTTCTGTAGAAAGTAAGTAACAAACATAATATGTGTTTTGTTTTGTTAACAAACCTACAAGTACCGATCAATTACAGTTAAAGGCTTTTTTTGATCATGAAAACTTACTTCACGGTTCAGGTTTGGGTTTTTTTTATTGATTACGTCACCGATAAAGGGATCCTTCTCTATATTTATACTCAACATTTGCAAAATACACGTAGGTTTGATGTAAATATTTCATATTCTTTTATAAACCAAAACTAAAGCGCTAGCATATTTTCTGTATTCAGATAACATAATTATTATGCTGTTGTTCCGCATGTCTTTATTGAAGACATACAATTAATTGTCTAAGTTTAAAGTATACATACCCCACATTCAATAAGTTTCGTCAGCATGACAATTACTGAGCACTTATTCTGCCAGATCATCCTCCAAAAATCATTTACAGTGTTCTCCGTTGGCCCTGTACAGAGATATATCCAGCAACGTCCATTGACAGCAAAATTGTGTTTACAACAGTATGATATACACGTGATCGACTCAAAATGTATTACACTTTGGGCCAGAGGCCTTGAATACTTAAAGAAAATATTGATTGATTGATTTGTTGTATTTTTAGGAATCACATGATGGTTTTCTGAAAATTCTTGGAAAAAAGATACCAAGATATGTGTAGACTCCATATAGTCTGTCCACTACTTTAAGAGGAAATAATAATTCACGATGATCCTACAACTGTGTTAGTTTCATTAATCAAATCTTGAAAAAGAATTAAAAAAGAGTATTAACTACATGAAGGTGTATTTACCTTGTGCGGCAATGTATCTTTTTTCTTTTCCAAACCCCTGTATAAAAATATAGACAATATACAATGTATTCTCTATTATATCTTTATGTAATTTTCACTTTAAAAAAAATTAAAGTAAAATCTGAATTAAACAAATTTCAGCTTAAGGATGTTATGATCAACTTTGTTCAAAATATGAAAAAAAATTATCTTCATTTCTTTATACTACTACTAAATCACAAATTATTAAACCTACTTAAATTTAGTCGAAATTAAACAAAATCTTATATTTTCAGGTTCATTTACATTTCAGAATAAAAGGAAAAAGACCTTACATTAATAAAATTGGCATTTATATAACTGGACAAAGTTTCTTTATCCCCTTCTTTTTTTAACACAACACGAGAATGGTCATCTGAAAAGGGAATATATATAATTATATATATTGACGAGAAGTGAAAATAAAGAAAGGCATTTTTCGTACGTTTTCTACACATTCCCAAGTATTTATTATTACTACTTATGATATACTTACATGCATAGATATTCTTGTATCTATTTTTCCTTGAATTTTCCTCCTTTTGTGCTTCTGTACATGTAGCTATCAATCCAATTTGAAGCCGCTAAAATTAGAAGTTCGTAATCCTGTAGAAATATGTCTTTTAATAGGGAACTGTCTCTATGTCATAATTTTAAAATAAAACATTTGCCATCAACATAGAACTAAATGTAAAAAGCTGGATTTGGAACCAGTGCAGTTAAACCAACGTCATAAAGAGACATCAACCAGGAATACTTGGCATCAGAATTGTGTTTAAAAAAACGCCAAAATACATAACGCATTTTAATTACCTTGATGGTATCCTTATATATTTGTACTATTTTATGGGAACGTAAGTTTGCGTAAAAGTGTCTCATAATGAAGGAAAAAGCTAATGATCAAAATTTAATGAATTTGTAACATTTTGAGAATTTCATCTCCTGTTACCGTTACTCAATCATGACCACTTTTTTTTTTAAATTTCTTTTCGCCCGTGTTCCATTAAATACAATTAACAGCTAAACTTTTTAATTCCACAACATAATTAATCATAATAAACCAACACTGTAACGTTCTTACCCTGTATATCATAAGAGCTTAAATACAATTCATGGTGTGGTTTTACTCAGAGTTATCTACCTTGTGTTCTTTTTCAAAAGCGCCCTCTGTGGCTATCATTCTAGCTACGTACTGGTTCAACTCTTTCACATTAATGTCACCACCAGATGCAATCACGTTATCATAACCTGAAAAATGATCACTTTGACATTAGAATCGGACAAGTCTTTGCTTTAAGAGTGTATATATGCATTTTTAAACATTGAATTCTTATTTTTGGATGTCTATAACAATACCTGGCCGTGTCGACATCTTGAATACCGCGCGTTTGCGTATAATAATATGTCGGTAAGCCAGATGCTGTTTTACGAACGATAACATCCAAAAATAAGAATTTCATGCTTATATTGACATTTTTTCTCTTCAAAAATGTTTATTTCATTCATCTTTGTCATAAATTAAGTATTTTTCAGAACTGGTGTGGTAAATCTATTAGATGTAAGAGCTGTCCTGGCGGGAAAATGACCAATTGGGAAATTGGTAAATGACCAATTAAATCTAAACGTACAATTATTTTTTTACAACAATTTAAAAGGGCATAAGTTTTTTATTTAATTGAGCCAAAACAAATAAACATTTTTGTGTTTCTAGTGTTTTGAAAGTGTATGTGATTTCTACTATATATTCTGCAGCACCGTGACAAGGTTTTATGTGTGTTACAGGGGGTTGGATGTTACCGATTTCAAATGGATATCATGAAGAAAATTACACCGAATGTAAATATTTGATAGACTTCCACATTCTTCAGAGTTACCACCCTTTATTCTTTTTATTATAACCTTTGTAACTTATTTATAATAATTTAGGAGGCAACCAAGATAATATGATGACCATATACATGTCATACACATTTCATTTGTTAAATACTGTCCCATAAAGTTCGTGATGTTATAGACGGAAAAACAAAGCCTTAGCTCGGTTAACCTAGGAAAGGAAATGACTCTTCTACATCTGAAAGTCGTCTATTGAAATGCAATGATCGACTATTATTTCTTCTTGAACAACCTATATATAATGCCAATAATCACAATAATATACTTAATTGAAATAAAATTAAGTATGTTTTTGTTAATGAATAAATTTAAGGAATAAATCATTGGATGTTTTAAAATAATAATTCATATTTTTATGTGTTAAGAAGTAAGAAATATGTACCTAAGGCCATGACATGTATGCATTTAACGCTGAATTTCAAGCTCTATTTCGGCCGTTTCTGTTACTTTATATCTATCATATACACTTTTTCTTTTGTTAAAGAGAATCTGGTCTATATTTGAAGTAAAATTTGAATGTCAAAATGATTTTAGACAGTTCCACAATAAAGTATTTTTTTTTCATTTACTGCTTTGCAAATATTAAAATTTACACCTACTTGCCCCTAAATGAAGAAAAGGTTGATACATATATAAAATACGTGGAGATAATCTTGTTAGAATGGGTTTGAAATCACACCAGAGTTACAATGTCATGTGTAAAAAAAAAAAAAAAAAAAAAAAAAAACTTTCGTATTTGTATGGCACCCTCATTTACAAAGGATTCAAAATGAAATTACAATTTGGTTAAAATTTAAATGATCGTAAATCAATGCCGGACCTCTATTGGTAAGGCACATGCTACATATGACATGTAAGTAAGTAAGTAAGTAAGTAATTTAATTATTTATAGTGACATGTGTACATAATTAAATCCTTTGTTTACAAACTGTATAAAATAACAATTAACACCCGGCCCATCGGGCCTATATGCCACTTTAAACACAAAATTGAAATACAATATATAAAGAAAATAAAGAGCACAACGTTAAGAGATAAACAAAAAAGTAAATAAACATAATTGTGATATATATACATATATATGTATTTTGTATGCAAAGATTGGTAGTGTCTGTTATTAGTAGATAAATATGACACTGAAATACATTCTTATTTTCTGAAGATAACGGACTGTCTCCGCATAAATGAAAAATATAAATACTTTGCAACCTGTCGAGGATAATTTGAAGTAAGTATACTTAGTAAATCCACATCTGACCATGCCATTTGATTAAGACCAGTGTTTTCAAAAAGTTTTGAACGATATTCAGAGTACAAAGGACAATGCAATAAAAATGAATTTCGTCTTAGAACTACATTATTTTTAGAGCAAAAGGTGCAAATTCGATCCTCAACAGGTTCCCCATGATATCTACCGGTTTTTATTCGTAGTGGTAAAATGCCACATCTAAATTGTGCTAAAATTGAACGTAAATATTTAGGCATATCAAGTACTACATAATTTTCCCTTCCAAAAGTTGTTTTAAAATAAACGTAAGTCCGCAATTTATGAATGCTTAAAATCTCATTGCTCCAAAGGTTGGAATAATAATTGTGTATTTTTGATTGAACCATATTTATATTTACCATAAGCTTTGACTCAAAATAATAATCCAGCTCTAGTTGGTGTAATATATCTTTCAAATCACTGCACCAGTTATTCCTACCCTTATTGTAATCAACTTCAAAAACAATTCTTGTAATTCGATCATTGCTAAAGGATAAAACTCTATTCCAATATCTGATTACATTTATCCAACGTCTATACTGACTGGGAATCCATCCAGTGTCTCCATAAACCCCCAGTGTGGGAGCAAAGCGGTGTACCCCAATAAAATACCGAATCGCTCTATTTTGAATATTATCTATTGGTTGGAATTTTTTGAAACCCCAGACACTGGATGCATAATCCAAAACAGGTATTACACAAAAGTAAAATAGTTTTTCATAAGCATTAAACCTGAAATCTTTATTACTATGAATGGAAGATATAATTTTCCCGAGAGCACGTCCCCCTGCTTTAGCAAGATTTTCTGCATTTTTCATGAAATTACCAGTGTGCGTAAACGTTATACCTAAATACATATAATTCTCAACTGTTTCTAACTTATTAAGTCCAATAGTGAATTCAAAATTGGTTGCTCTGATGTATCTGAGGCATCATTTGTCGGAATTAAGTATTCAAATGCTAACTTGGGTTAGAAATCACGTGGTGAATTATAATTTTTCGCAGAAAGCAATGTTTTCAATTCACGCCATAATTATATAGACAGCGATTGTAAGAAGATTTTTTTTTACCATTAATGAAAATGTATAAATGATCCGCCATGTACTGTCTTAAACACTACCGAGTGTCAATTTTATTATACGTTTTAAAAATCATCTGCGGCTTCACAAAGGGAAATCTCCAAAATCTGAATAAATGATATTGACATTTTTTAAGCTCGCAATTTTTCTTTAAAAGCCAGGTTCCCCGTTCACTTTCATCAGATTTGAACATCTGCGTTCTCCAGATTGGAAGAAGAAAATTCCAAGAATCTGTTTCGTATTTATAGGGAGGCTTCATTGCAGAGAGCAAAAGAATAGCTGCGTATCCTTTTTCTGTCTGTTTTGGATTTTGTAACTGTTGCATTTCAATTCTGTCATTGGAGATCTATCTATAGTTAAATTTCAATTCAAGTTAAACGAACCAGGAAGGGAAACTCTTAATACACCGTCTGTCGATGACGCTTCAACTTTGAAATCCGAACGATTTTTTTCTCTCTCTCTCTCTTCTGAACTTTTTAAATGGTTGAATCATGTGAAAACATGCATTCATATATACAGAAAATCCAGTAATTTTCGCGAGATAGTTATTAATTAGTATTTATAAGGGCAAAAAAATTTTCGGGAATTCCGGTTTTCTGAATAATACGAACAGAAAGGACTAATGGCTTTCAGACGATCCAATGTAATTACGCAAAAATAAAGGTCTCTTGAATAAAAAGGTGATTTACAGTGAAGCTTATGGAAAACGCCCTTGATAAGTTTGACAGAACACATTTAACTCTCTACGGTGGATGACTTTTTTCCAATAATCCAGGAGTGAGACAAACCCTTTGTATACATGTATTATACTGAAATTATAATCTAATTTTTGTTTATTTATAATCTAAATAGATTTTGAACAGCATGAGGTAAAACAGGAAGAGATGTTCCAGTCTCACATTTGACCTTAAAAGTCTGTGTTGTAGATGACTTGTAGATCATATAATGATGAAATAGATGCAATAATAATTAATCCATCTTTAAAAGAATGTTTGCTTGCCCCCTCCCAACTCAGGATAAAAAAAAATAGACCGGAAAATAAGCTTTTCCCCCTATGAGATATGCATTTACATAGAAAAGCGTTATATATTGATCATGTATTTCCGAATAAAAATAAATAGTTGATAATACGATGAGAAAATTTCATAATGATTTTAAAAACGTTTTCTGAAGGGTTTAAACGAGTTTCGAGTCGTTCCGTTTTAGTCAGTAGATCGTGAGAGGGCAAACAGACAATTTTTTGAAGATTGCCTCATCATGTTAATTGTTGGCTTCCTTGTATTATCTTTTAATTTGTCAAATGTTTCCATCTTTTATCCATCTTTTATCAATCTATGTGCATCTTAAAAGTTCAGGTACAAATCAACTGGTTTCAGCTAATAATTAGGATTATCATTTTATGGTAAGTATCGCGATTACATCATAGTTATTTAAATTACTGCTGCTCTTTTGCGGCGGAGTCAAGAAAGCTCTAAATCTCGCAAAATATTATTTACGCTCTTGACATTCGATTGATTCGAACAATCAGAATGAATCGAACAAAAGTACAATTTAATGCCGAGGGTTGAAAGCCAAAGAGTAGGATGTCAGATTAGACCTGCTTAGAATATTCTGTCAGCTTCAAAAAGCAACGATTTTGAAAAGAAATGATTGAATTTAAGAAGAAGAATGGGCTTAGGAAAAGTATCACAAAAAAAATTAACACATGACGACTTGCTCCTCTCAAATTTTAGCGTGGTTCAGCGAATGTTGAGCAAGATATTTCACCTGGACTTCTTTCTTATTTGTCCTTATAAAGTCCTCAGTCATACTATCGATAGCAATATCCAAACAATAAAAAAGCGGGGCTGTGAGGAGAAAAGCTCACTTTCATAACCTAAGTCGTTCGTCAGAAATTCTCCAAAAAAAAAAGATAATGTCATTTTAAAACTATTTATTCACCTAATATTTATATAGACAAAAAACGTGTTTTGGACACAAAATGCTACTTGTGCTAATTGAGATTGTCC